GAACATACCGAGATGATCAACTCTCAAACGCAAGAGGTAGTAGCCTGGTCATTAAGGCAGCCTCCCTAACAGGCAGGAACGGGAAGCTCGCGAGGCGAAGGTCTCGCCGGCGCAAGAGACGGGAAATACTCGTAGAACCATATCTACAAAGATAAAGAAGTATCAACACATGATAATGAAAATCTAGAGCTAACTTTATTAAAGGAAATAAAGTATACCTCTACGAGTCTCCAAAAGCTGGAGAGCGCAATATCTCCCTCAAAGGCACCATGACGACTAAAAATTCGCAATCCACTAGGAAGTTCGCATAGGCAAAGCTGGCCCAATCATAAGAACCGACCATGTGAAGGTCGTGAAGAGCAGGCAGGTAATAGAGCAAGACTCGACTACCTCTGTTAGGAGAAAAGGTCCCTAACAACAAGGTGAGAGTGAAGATGTGCACTCGCCGCTCTAGGGTGGTCGCACCATCTTGGAAAACCGCCGCAAGTGTGGACCAGCAGATACACCGAGAGCTGAGATGCGTTGGCTCGGCCTCGCTACGAGCCTGAATAGTAATGGGCCCAATAGCTCCAGTGCCACTAGAGAATATACGATGATCTCGCTATCAAACGAAAGCGCGACCGAACGAAACTCCACCCCCGTGATGAGACTGAAGTTAGTAGGGGTAATAGTCACCTCACCCCAGGGGAAATGAAAGGTGTTGGTGGTGTCCCACAAGAACTCCACCAAAGCTCGAACCGCGTAACACTAGGCCCAAAAGAATAAAGAGCCTGAGTGGCTGAGCTCGGAACAGAGACGCCAGTGGTGTCGTTGTCTGAACCATGGCTACAAACTCTCCCGCTATGAATTCCGCGCCGAACGCACTCCGAGATGTGGAACTCGGGCGTAAAATACAGAGTGCTCTCATCCCACTCTGGGAACTCCCCTAAAGAAGAAGAGGTCCCCATGCCAGCGTCAACTGGATCATCCTCCGGGTGAGCCTCCCTAGAACGAGAACCAGAGCCGCGTTGTCTAGCCATGCTATATTAACGATTCTATAATATATAAGGTTCACCTAGCCGCATGATACTATGTTCGTCAAAACAGAGTACATAGTACTAAAACAGAGCATAATTTGAATACATGCAGAAATATAATTTTTCAGCAATAAAACAATTTCTTGTAATACTATGACAAATATTGTGTTAAATTAGACAAGAATGGCTAGCAAAAATACGAAGAACGAGCCGTATTGTTCTCACGAACTCAAAGGGCTCAATAATGGCAATTCGCTCATTTCTTCACCAAATTTAGTCAAACAAGTCTCAAAATACTCTTAACTCTTAAGGCAACAAACAAGCATACTCAAGCAATTTCATGGCATAAAATTCAAAAACAAAGCAAATGAAGTAATATGAGTTTTGAATTTCCCAAAATTCGTGAACAAAACATGCAAAATTCAGCAAAACCAACGTGAGTTTGAAAAAAACTTACATAGATCGGAAAACTGGATGAAATAAGCTTTGACTTGCAACAAATTAGAGCAAATTTGGTTGAGAAATGGAGGAGAACGAGCAAGCTGAAATTCTGAGCAAAACCGAGCAATCGAATAGCAGCAGTAGCGAAAATGGAGAAGAAAGGGGTTTTATTTCGAAAACTTGAATCCAGCGCCAGACGACAAGTTTGTCGCTAGGTGCTAATGCTTTTCGCCAGGCGACAGAGCGTAGCAGCGTGCGCTGGTGCGGCGACAGGATGCATGGCCCCCATAAACGATTATGTGGACCTTATATAGCAAATTCGGGTTCCTTGGTACGCCAGTTATCCGTTATAAGCAATTTGACAGGATTAAGTAGTCGGCTCGATTACAATCGCAGTAAGTGATCGACCTGACAAATGATCGTCTCACTTAGCTTAAAGCGCCTGAGTATTAGCTCATCGCAAGCATTGAGAAGAATAAAGTATAGGCCTATTTTTAGGGCAGGTTCAATCTCTTTTAGGTTGGATTTGTACCTTCATCCCTGAATATCTAGTCATGGTTCTAGACCACTATGGAGTTAGCGATCTCATGAATTGTGAAGGGGTGCAACCTTCACCCAGTGAACTGTTTACAAGTTCTTAAAACTTGTTAGAGACTCTTTTGCTCTGGCTTCCTTCCCTTTGGACGCCACCATGCTTAAGTGTATGATCACAGTGGGGCTCAAGTGTGGGATGCTTGAAATATTCCCTACATATGCTACAATAAAAAAATGCAAGTTCCAAATCAACATATCACATACTTTTATTATTCCTCAACTATTTTATGATTATAATACTTAAAGTTATATATATATATATATATATATATATATATCACCGTGCATGGCACGCGGTCTAACCTTGTTTCAATACATAGCACGGATTCAATTAGCTAGTTAATTAAAATGAGAAAAATATGCTTGTAGTTTATTTTACATCGATCCCTTTTTTTTTTTTTTTGAGCTAATACTACACCGATCCTTTAATTTAGCTACAAATACTCTTTTTTGTATAGAATTAAAATGTGGTTTTACTCGTTTTAGTAATACCAATTTTAAAAAAAATTGTTAAGAATAAGCCAACCTTTATCCGATTAGCTCAAAATAAGAAACCTTTTAATTAATTGAAAATAAGTCGATCTTTATATATTATCTTCTCAAAACAAATCATGAACTCTTGAATTTTGAGATAACCGGTTGTTTCAGTAAATTATGCCATGTGTCAAAAAAAATTAAAGATTAATTTTTGATTAATTACAAAAATTAAATTTCAATTAACAAAAATATCAAATAAAAAACATCCCAACCACTACCTACCAACTTCAAACCCCTTCCCAGAAGCTCCCCTACCACCGGTCGTCGGACGACGACCACCTGCCCCGACGTTGGCGACCCTACCCTCTCCCTTTCCCACGGCCACAAATACCCATATTTCTCCCTTTCCCCTTTTATCACTTCCCTAGCACCTCGACACCCACCCTTATCTCTTTCCTTTTTCGCTCTATAGCCATCGGAAATTCAACGCACAAAAGGTTTATTGTTAACATTTCTTCCGTTGATTAAATTTTAGGTCCATTTCTCAACAGTTTCGACCGCTTTAACGAAGTTAACTAGGTTGGTTAAGGGTTTGGATTAAGGGGTTGGGTCGTTGGGGGCGGTGGTATGTGGCTAGGAAGTGAATGGGGGTCGACTCAGGGTGATGGGGGAAGCGAGAAAGTAAGGGGAAAGAGAGAGATGAGGGTTTCGCCGTTGGTGGCCGGTGAGGGGAAAGGCTGTGCCCATTGATATCCGATATCAACCAAGTTTGTTAATAACATGTCATAGCTGTAAAGAGTTGGCATGAATTTCTAAAAAGTAATGTTTTAGTAGTGGAATGGTGACAAGGACACCGTTTTGTGTCAGTTGTAACGGTATTATAATTCCTCCCAAGGCAAAAAAAGTAGCACACCACCATCACCACAATTTCTTCTTTTTCACTCCATGAACTCTACCAACAACCCCCTTATTCCATGCATACCGAACGGACGGCGGCTTCGCCGCCAAACTTAAAGAAAATCCTAAGAAATAATACATAAATTAGGGGAATGCTAACCCCAAAATGGTAGGTGTCTTCGAGCAATGGTATTTGGGTTTAACAATGGAACAACTTTGGGGTTCAATTTGACGAAAATCGAGCTTGAAGAAAGTTTCGTGGATTCAATTGTTGATGAAATTGCTCCAAACTTGGGTTGAAGAAGGTATGGCCAATTTTTCCTTCTCTCTCCTCCCCTCACATGCTACTACTTCCTTATCTCTCCTCCATTCCCATGGTTATGCCCAAGATCGGCCACCTTCATGGATCAAAAGCGGCCGGCCGGCCGGTCAAACAATAGATACCCTAGTAGAAAATTATGAAAATTGGACCAATACAAACCCCTTAGGGAAGGGATTAGCTCGTACTTGTGGTGTTTCTAGGATCGAATAGTAGTGCTAGAAAATGTGCGGTGGTCGACTGGTGAAGGTAAAAGGAGGTTGTGCGATGGTCGGCTAGTGAAGCTAAAGGGTGTTAGTGGTTGGTTGGTGAAGCGCGTGGCAGGTGGTGGTCGACTGTTAAGCTTGAAGATGATGTATTATTCCTTTGAACCCTTAGAATGGGGCTGACATAACGGGAAATGAGTTGGATTATTTACATGGACCTCCGTGCCCCTCATTAAACTGACAAAAAGACCGAATTACCCCTGATTTTAACAATACAAGTTGATAGCAGATATCAACTTGTATTTTCTCGGAAGTGAATGGGGGTCGACTTAGGGTGATAGGGGAAGCGATAAAGTAGGGGGAAAGAGAGAGATGGGGGTTTCGACGTTGGTCGCCGGTGGGGGGGAAGGGAGGGGTAGGATCGCTGGCACAGGACTATCGGTGCCAAGAGAGAAAGGTGGTTGCCGACGTTGAGGGGAAATGATGGGAGGAGTTGGCTGGGATTTTTATTTTTTTTGTTTTTTCAATGAAATTATAATTAACCTTAATTAACTTATTTAATTAAAGAAATGACTTGTTTAATAGGTTGTAGGTTATTGGACCTATTAAAAGAAAATCTAATATATATAGACTACCTCCGTTTCATATTATTTGTAACTATTATACATTTTTCCTCTCTACTTTATGTCAAATCGTTGCAGATAAAATGAAACGGAGATAGTATAAAGGGGAGTTTTTTCCCGAGTTTTTAGAGAGCCATGTAAGATCTAATTTTCTTAGTGTGCCACGTAGGATTATAAATTTTAGTAATAGTCAATTAAATAAGAGATTATTAATTTCTTTTAAAATTAAATAATTCAAATGCCACGTAATCAAAATTGGCAAATGAGATTTTTAAGTTTAAATTATAATTAAATGATTCAAATGCCACGTAAGCAAAATTGGCGAATATCATTTTAAAATTTAAATTTATTAAATATAAAATATTATCTTTTAAAATTAGGAATTTTATCTAAATATATAACCAATTTTAGTACATTAATTTAAAATTTTTGTTTTAAAAAATTCAAACAAACCGTGCATTGCACGGACTTCATCTTGTACTTTTGAAGGTCAACTTATTTTAAGTTAATTAAAACGTTGACTTATTCTTGACAAAATTTTCCAAAAAAAAAAGAAAAACACGGTGTTATAAGTGAAATTTGTGTAAGAAAAACGACTTTCTACTAAACAGAGCTAGATGAAAAAAAAAATGTAACCAACATAAACGAACGTAGCTAGTATACGATCATATAGAACTATGTCAAATTGTCAATATCCATGGTATCACATTATGAAACAACCATTAGGATTCTCATCACTAAACGCATCACCGGTTCTTCCAGTCGCGAACGACGAAGAAAGTGAAGGGTTATAGCCATGGTATTCATGTCCATCATAACCATGCTTGAAGTAGTTGTAAGATGAGGCTGGTTGAGCCTGTGTACTACCACATGCCGATGTTGAACCTGACCCAATCGACCCGTTGCTTTGGCATTGAGTTGGGTATTGATGAGTGAAACTCCTTAGCTCTGGGTTGTATGGAAATTGCCATAATTCTGCTCTTCTCCCTGTTCTTCTTACTGCTTTCAATACTTTCTTTTGGTCTGCTATTCCGTTTACTGTCACTTTTTGCATTGCCATGTCTATTTCAACTCCGTCCACTCCTACATACGTGTCATTATATTATAATGTTAGTATATAAGTACTGAAAAGTTAACTATTTTAGGATTTACTATCTTCAACTTATTTAAAATACTTATTTAAAATGCTTTTAAGTGAAAAAGCGTGATAATGTATGTATAAAATCATTCGTAGGATATCTTCTATTAGCTTAAACTTTTTGTTTTATCGATTAAATTTGTGAAATTTTAAGGTAAAAAAAAAATTTCTTACCTTTCATTTTATCTAGTGTTTTCTTGATCTTGCTTTCACATCCAGGGCAGCACATGTGCACTCTCATTTCTGTGGTCTGAAAATATGAATATGATAAAAAAAACATTGGTTAATTAACACTTGAAAATATAAAAGATAAATTATAGTATTACATTGCATGAAGAAAATATAAGAATTTACCGTTGTCATTTTCTTAGGAAATGAAGTTGATGATAATTACACAAAAACTAGAAATTTTGAGTTGTTATAGAAGTTTATGTATGATCAACTGAATATAGTTTCAAGGTTCAGTATTTCTTCAATCTTATAAAGAGCACTTTCTCTACTCTAAATTAAGTATTAGTTTTCCTTAGTCAATTAAAATAAAATTATGTAGAGATTATGATTAATTTGCACTTTTTCTATAAGTTCTTAAAATAATATTATTATGGTACCATTGTACAATTGAAACTTAGGGATATGTTAATGAAGGAAGCTTCAAGGGTGGGTTTTGATTAGTTGTGCATGTGGTCTAATTTATGTCAAATATAAGCAAAGGTTACCTTATGCCTTAGGGTTGTTGACTTTATCACTAATTAAGGTTTAATAATTTGATATTGATCATAGCTTAGCACATAGAAATTGCAAATGGGTTATTTTTGCCTTGTTTTTCAACTTATTAGCTCTAAAATTCTAAATTTGTGGCAATTGGGAGAGGTAAAAGGTATTATGGTGATCATGGCGGGCCAAACGGATCATGTCTCAATCGCTTCAATTGCAACTTAATATTGGCACACTTTAAATTTTCTTTTATTTATGGACAGCCAAGTGTTAAAATCCAATTGGAAAAGCATTATTTTGCTCCTCATGCCCCGGAAATTATTTCAACAAATACAAGTGAAAAGGAAAGCAATTTTACCCAGTGTTTACACCAAAAGTACATCACTTTAGGCTATTTCATTCTTATTTTTTTCCATTTACCAAATGCCCATCGATTTGAACATCCAATTCTATTAAGTTAAGCATAAAGGGTAATAGGTAGTGCTGTCAAATTTCAAACCGAAACCGTTTAACTGTCCGAAACCGACCGACCCAAATGAGAACCGAACTGATTAAAAACCGATTTTGTAAACCGAAAACCGACCGAACCGTATTTAAGTAAACCCGAAACCGAATCGATCCGAATAATGTCAAACCGTATAAAAATCAAACCCGTTAACAAACCGAACCAGTTCTAAACCGAACTGATATAAAACCGAACCGAAAAAGAACCGAACCGTTTCTATCCCGAAACCGTTTCCAACCCGAAACTGTTTGAACCAAGGTAAAAAAAACCGTTTACACTGAACCGTTAACAAACTGCAACCCGTTTGCACCGAACCGTTTATAAACCGAACCACTTACAAACCGAACCGTCTATAAATCAAACTGTAATTTCGATGTCACAATAACTCATCAAATCATGATTATGACACATCAATTAGATGATTGAATAAGAAGCAGCTAATAATGTGATAGTAAAACAATAATAATTCATTAATACACTAAACTTTTATAATCTACGTTACTTTGTAATAAACTAGTAAGATCTGTATGACTAAACTTAAAATAACATGATATGTATTTTTGAAATCGATGAGAATTTGTGTATAATATAATGCCTAATGCCTAAATATGAAGTGATGAAGTCTCGTCTTGATATAAAACTTGTTAACCAGCAAAAGGTTAGCAAGTACTATGAAATTTCAAACCAAAATCGTTTAACTATCCGAATCCAAACGACCAAAAACCGACTTTTTGAAATAATAAACCGTTTCGAACCATAATTTAATAAACGTGAAATGGAACTGATCCGAATAACGTTAAACCATATAAAAGGCAAACCCGTGAACAAACCGAACCAAAATAAAACTGAACCAAAAAAGAACCGAACCGTTTCTAACTCGAAACTGTTTCCAACCCGAAACTGTTTGAAACCGGTATACAAACCGTTAACAAACTGCAACCCGACTGCACCGAACCGTTTACTTCCCAAACCGCTTACAACCCGAACCGAATTAAAACCGCTTAAGAATAAACCAAAACCGAATCGAACCGATAACTATTTAAATCAAACTGAAACCGACTCGCGAGACACTTAAACCGATTTCAAACCGACCCGATTTAATACCGAACCGATTTCAAACTGATCCAAACCCGAACTGTCAAACCGTTTTGACAGTGCTAGTAATAGGTTTTGCTCTTGGTATAATATCTAGCTGTCCAACTTATTCAAAATTTAGGGTTCGTTTGGCATCACTGTGGTTTTCTGTTTTTTGGTTTTTTGTTTTTTAAAAATATATTATATATGTCACATAATGAATCAAAAGTTATTTAGGCTTATTAAAATCATGATAATTTTGAAAACTGACAACAGAAAAGTGGAAACACCTTTTTCTTGTTTCCTGTTTTTGGTTTTTAGTTTTTTTAAAAAAAGAAACTGAAAACCAAAAATGATGCCAAATAAGCCATTAAATACTAGAAAATGAGTATAATCTTATAGTATAATGAACCGTCCCGTTCCCAAAAAAAAGAAAAAAAACAGTATAATGATCCGAGACATTGTCTGAGTCCAAATCTAGCTATAGGTCTATGTGTCCAACATTTCTATAAAAAAATTTACTCGTTATATACTTATATGAAGTATTTTAAAAGTGTTGAAAATTTTACAGTAGTCATTTGAAATATGACTATCATAATGTTTTCATGATTATAAAGTTTATAATTGATATTTTTTTCAAATAATTAATTATTTTACTTAATTTTAGGTATAAAATAGTATTATCAACATTTTTTTGATTTATCAAATTTTTAGCAACATTTATGTAATTTTTATTCTTATTTTATAGTTTCTCGAAAAAAAATTATTATATATTGAATTAAAAATTTCAATAAATGTGTATACATAGTAAATATAATAAGACTAATTGTGACCATTTTTTAAGTTGAAAAAAATAAACCAATCACATTGTATACTATTAAAATAATATGATAGTCATTTTTCAAACGACTACTATAAAATCATCCGTAAAGTGTAGAATGTTTTCCTCTTAAAAAAATGAAGGCTATAATGTAAATGGCATTTTGCAATGCAATTAGGTCTTTTTTTTTTTTTTTTTTTGAATAGATTAGTTTTTATCTTTACAAAGAATTTATGAGATTGCATTTTAAAAAAAAAAAAAGCAATTTATGAGGTTGCATTATAACTTTACTGATGAAGATTTGACGGACAGATTGAGGTGCCAAACTTTTTTTTTTTTTTTTTTTTGTAAAGATTATAAATTATAATGATTAATGAATGATATATATTGAAATAATCTCATCATTATTTTTATTTTTTTTAAACTAACTCAGTTTTCTTAATTTGAATTTCGGAAAAACAACCTAACTTTTTATTAGCCTGTAAAACAAAAGTCCCTATTCATAAGCCAAAAAAAAAAAAGAAAAAAAAAAAGAAGAAGAAAGTCTAGGGTTTCTGAGCCATCATACGTTCATACCACATTGCTGCAAAATCAATAGCGATTACTAAAATCAGAAAAACCATCCTATCATTCACGAAACAAGAATTGAAAAATAAACCGAACATAAATAAATCATCATTTAATGTCGAGTTTCAAGCGAGGAGATCAAGTAGAAGTCTGCTGCAAAGATGAAGGCTTCCGAAACTCATTCTATCCAGCAACAATAATATCCGAAATCAACACCAATCTCTTTATAGTTCAATACAACACTTTGTTGACGGAAGATGAATTACACCCACATCGAGAGTTCCTTTCGGCTGTTGATCTTCGACCGGTCCCGCCCGTGATCGAGCTTGATAGGTTTGAGCACAAGGATGAAGTTGATGCTTACGTGAACGACGGATGGTGGAAAGGAAATGTAACCAAGAAGTTAGTAAGGAAAGGGAATGGGAAAGGAATAAGGTATTATGTTAGATTTGAGGGTAATGGTGAGGTTGAAGTGGGTAAGTATTGGTCACATGAGTTGAGGGTTCATCAAGATTGGGTTAATGGTAAATGGTCTTGTTCTAAAAAGATTTTCCATTGAAAATTGTATTATGCTATCGTTATATTTATGTTGAGGTGTTGCAATATTTTGAGGTTAGCTTTTCTCTAAATTATGTTTTTTTTTAAGTCTATATTTAGCTGTCACATTGTTTATGTAAATACATCATAATGTAACAAATTATTTTGGAGGAATTTTGTTTTCGAATGATAAATACTCTTGCATTCTCATAAATGCTATACGAAGTACATTATTGATACGAATCAAAGGCAATCATGCTTAAGATTTTAATTTCTTTCTTTAATTATGATAGATATTATATTTAGGAAAATTTGTCTAGAAGAGATTTATATGTTGACTCTTTTGTGTAGAAGGACCTTATGTGTTCAAAGTTGTCAAAAAGGACCTTATAAGTATGTTTTGTTGTCCAAAGGGACCATGACGTCATATTCCAGTGTTTGACTTTTTGACTCCGGCGTTGACCAGTCACGTGACTATCACGTGACTTTAAAAAATCACCCCTTTCCTTTTTTTTCACCTTTTCCCTCCGATTCACATTCTCTCTTTTCTGTTCCCCTCATTTTCTCTCTCCTTTCGTATTCTCTAAGCCTTAATCAATGAAGGATTGAAGAATTGAATTTGAGAACTTATTGCTCCCATCTACCTAACTGAATTCGAGTCAGAAAGTAGAGGACTTAGTTGGCCCATATACGATTATTCTCTTCTCTCTCATCCATCCTTTTCATTTCCTCTTTTGTACATCAATTTTTTTTTTCTTTTTTTGGTCTCCAATGGCGAAAGGGAAAAAAGGGCAAAAACATGGCAGAGAATTTTTGTTCTTTGTTCAAAAAATCACTAAAACTAGTAGGTAAACTAACTAAATTCAACTGAATTTTGAAATTGATGAATGGAAATTAGGGTTTTTGGCTACTTTTGCGATGTTGATGAATTTTGTGAATGTTGGAGTATGTTTTGGTAATTGGAATCATGAATTGAATATTTGTTTATTCCTTTGTTTATTGTTGAATTCTGGGATAGTATTTGTTTATTGTTGATTTTTAAATTCGAAAAATGTGTATGTTGAAAAGTTGCCTTTTTTTTGCTTAGTTCTTGGTCTGTGTGGTTTGGCTTGCTTGGAATTGTTGTAAAAATGTGGTTATTTAGTACTGTAATTCTTGGTTGGCTTATTTAAGTTGTTGTTTTGAATGGATTAGCTTGTTGTGTTGTGTTTAATTAGTGTCACTATTTGTAATTCAGGTTTAATCATAAATACCCAGCTTATAAAGTGATGGATCCTATTAACATAAGGTTGTATTATGGGGGTAGACTTGTGACAAGAAAGGGGGTGACCACCTATGAGAAGGGTGATAGTGACTACTTTGGTCTGTCATTACACCCTAATGTGGAAGAGGTTTGTTACTTTGAATTTGTACATTTGGTTAAGACAGAGTTAGGGTACCCAAAAATGGGGAAGCTTTGGTTTAGGAAGGACAGTCACACTTTGTTTAGTGGTAGAAAAGAACTAAAAGATGATGGAGACATTGTTGACTTTCTGTTTTCTACAGAGGATGATGGATGGTACCATCTTTATTTAGTGCATGAGGATGAGAATGTTATTGAAGATAATAGGGCACTAATGTATGGACCAAATAGATTAGGTTTCTACACAGATTCATCTGAGGGGGGGGGGTCCAGTAGTTTGAGTAGTTTTTCAATATCTAATTCCCTAAGAAGTGACTCAGCTGTACGTGAAAGTAATGGAGTAAGTGGGGCCCAGTCAAAAGATGATGTGTCAAACCCTAGATCTAGTACTTTATCCCTTCCCAAGTCCGCAAAAACTCATGGAAGCAGCTTATTCAAACCTCCAAAGCCATCCCAATTTGCTCCTTTCTCATCTACACATACCACACCACAAATTGAAACTACTGTGACCCCTTCAACTCAATCTGGTGTTGAGAAACCAAAGAAGAGAAAACTGAGGAAAAAATATTCTGAAACAAACCTAGAACTTGAATTTGAAATTCAATCCTACCAACCTTCACAAAATTCCTATATGTTCAATGCCTCTGAAACTGAGGCTTCTAAATCAGCTGCTGGAAAACCCCAAAAAAAGACTCAGGACAGTTTTTGGAACCCAATCCTGAGTTTGAGACTGAAAATGAGGATTTGGAGTTAGACTGTGAGGTTAGGGACTCTGATATTTGCTTGAGTGAGGATGATTATGAGGATAAAAATGATGATGATCTATTTGCAGCTAATGTAGATCTACAGATTATTGAGACTGTTAAGAGGAGTTTGGTTGGGCTAAAGAGAAGGAACAGAGAGATTGAGGGTAATGAAAAGGAGGTAGAGTTCAGAGATGAAGCTGAGGTAGGGGATATATAGCTGTAGAGTGATGAGGATCTTAATGACAGTGATGAGGACTTCAAAGAAATCCCTAGATCTGATTATGATGAGATTCAATATCCTGTATTCAATTCAAGTGTTGATTTCAAGCAGAAGATTAAATTCAGTTTAGGGCTAAAATTTCCATCTAGGTGGGTGTTTAGGAAGGCATTGCAGCATCATGCCATTGAAAATAACTATAATTACTACTTCTTGCACAACAAAAGTCACAGAATAACTGTTTTATGTGCTGAAAGGTGTAAATGTCCTTGGAAGAAAGGTAAGAGGGTTGGATGTAAGTGCTTTAGTAGGAGATGTGAACCCCAAGATAACAACTGAGTATTTAGCTGAGAGATACATAGATGATTGGAGGGATGATCCATGTTACAAACTGAGTACATTTATGATGAGGGTCAGGAGAGAGGTAGGTGCAGAAGTTGGATACTACAAGTGTTATAATGCAAAGAAGATGGCATTACAGATGATAAATGGGGGATACATCGGATGAGTATAACAGGGTTTGGGAATATAATGAGGCTATTAGGAAGTCTAACCCAGGCAGTGCAGTAGTTGTGAAAGTAGTTGGGATTGAAATCCCCCTCCCCTTTTTCAAAGAATGTATATTTACCTTCAACCTTGCAAAGAAGGTTTCATTGCAGGCTGCAGGCCAATATTGGGGGTAGATGGTGCTCACCTCAAAGGGCCTTTTCCTGGAATTCTGTTGACAGCTATTGGAAAGGATGGTAACAAGAACATCTTTCCTATGTCATGGGCTATAGTTGAAGTAGAAAATGCAAAGACATGGACATGGTTCCTAGAGTTGTTGGTGGAAGACATTGCTTCTGTTGCTCATACAGTAACATGGGTTCGTGAAATTGAAGATGATGTGACCTTTATGTTAGATAGACAAAAGGTGATTCCTTCCCTCTAAACTTGTGCATTTTGTATTATTTTCATAGCATTTCATAACTGTTTATTATTGTTGTATGTAGGGTATGCTTGATGCATTTAGTAAGGTAATTCTCAATGCTGAGACAAGGTACTGCTGCAGACATGTATGGTCTAATTTCAAGACCAAGTTTGCTGGAGAAGCTTTCAGAGAGATGTTTTGGAAAGCTGCAAGAGCATCAACTAAGGTACAAAATTTTTTTAATTCTGTTTAAAACACATGGCTTGCAATTGAAAGTGAACTGGTATAAATTTTCTTTATGTATTTATGGACATCATCAATTTGAATCACAAATGGCTCAGATAAAAAAATTAAATATAGAGGCTTTTAATTATTTAGATGAAATTCATGTATGCCATTGGTCAAGGCATGGGTTTAGTCCTAAGTCTAAATCTGGTATGTTACTTAACAATTTTTGTGAAAGTTTCAACAATGTCTTGAGAGAGGCTAGGGCTAAACCAAGTCTGTCACTAATGGAGTGGATTAGACAATATGTCATGATAAGATGTTCTGCTAAAAGAGAGGGGTTACAAAACTTTGATGGTGTTATAATGCCCTCTGTTGTGAAAATGATTGAGAGGGGTATGAAAATTGTAGGAAGCATGAGATTAACCCAAGCTGATTTGCATGAGTTTGAGGTTGATCATGAAGGAGACAAATTTGTGGTTAACTTAGAAACCAAGACTTGTGGGTGTTATAGGAGGACTCTAATGGGAATCCCATGCTGGCATGCTTTAGCTTGTATAGCAAAGAGAAGGTTGAATTATGAAGACTTTGTACACCTTGCCTACCATGTTGCCACATATGCAACTACTTATACACCTTCCTTTCACGCTATTCCTGGATAAAAGCAATGGGAAAGGGTAGCTTTGGCTGAACCACTGCCACCACTCTTTGGAGTAATGCCAGGAAGGCCCTCCAAGAAGAAAAGAAAGAAATAGCCAGGGGAATGGAAGGATAAGTTTGTGAACAGGCCAAAGAAATTGAATAACTGTACAAGGTGTGGAGAAGCTGGTCATAGTAGGAACACCTGTTTCAAATCTCAAAAGCCAAAGGGTCTTGTAAACAAGGGGGGGAGACCTAAAACAATAAAAGAGGCAAGACCATCTCAATCAACTGTGCCTACACAACTCATGGCATCTAGTACAGCAGCATCTTCAAGAAGAGCTTCTGGACCAACTACAAGGGGAGGTCCTGCTCCATTAGAAAATCCTACAGCTAGGGGTTCTGGTGCATCAGCAGCTAGGGCATCAGGAAAGGGGGCTACTAAAACAAAAAGAAAAGGGTCTTCTTCAACTGGGGATACTGGAAAGACCGCCAATAAGCAACTTGTTCCAACTAACAGAGGCAAGAGACCGAAAATAGCCTCTTTGAATGCTATGGTAGCTTCACAACAATCTCAGAAAAGTTGTGTTTCTCATGAATGATGTATTTTGAGGGTGTTAGTGTGCATGTTATCTACTTTTGCTGTCAAACTGCTATTTAGGTTCCTGTGGAACTTTATGTGTTATTATGACAGTCACTTTTGGAAATAATGTAGTTATCTTTGGTTTGAATGATTTCAAGACATTTTCTACTCTTTATTATTCATATATATTTGGAAATTATGTTACCATCCCTTTTATGATATCAATATGCTCGTATAATTGTTAAAAAATTGCTAAAAACACCAAAATAAAGGCAAACTGATTTTTGTTGATTCATTTGAATTATTTACATCATTGTTTCATTCTCTACATAGTTCAATACAACTACATTTAATTAGACACATAGCTTCACCACAATCACACTACAAATAATAGACAAAATCACATAAATCACCATCCTTCCCCAATTATCAGTCCTGATTTGAGTTCTATGAACACCTTCCTTGCTCCTCATCATCTTGTTCTTTAAGTTCTCATTTTCATCAATCAACCTTCGCTTCTCATTTTCCATACAAGCCAACCTTAGCCTTCGAAACATTCATATCTGTAGTCAATCTTTGTTTTTTAGATAATAGATCATTAGCTACATCCTTCTGCCACTCCAAAATATCTTTATCAACCCATTCAAAGTAGTCACAACCCTTATCCCTTGTCTCAAAATTATAAAATTTGCAAGCTTTAAACCTTCTGCCTGGATTTTCACGAGTCCATGAAGTCCTTTGCGCAATAGGAAGACCACAATTGCACTTTAATTTGATAACTTCCTTTTAGTCGAAAACATGCTTCAACAACCAAAACAAAATGATTTCAGAACCAATTGAGATATAAACCCTAATTTTTCAACCAACTTCACTCAATCTTACAAGAATGCAATTGGGGAAAAAAAACCATAAGAATTGTTCTTACCTGATGCGAAAGGCCTTAATCAAAAATTGCTTGCTTGAATTTCTTCGAAAATTAAGAACATGCAATGGATTAGATTTAGTAACCTTGTTTCATGAGGAGAGAGAAACAATTTGGGGAAAAAATGAGGGAAACTGAAGAGAGAGAATGTGAATTTGAGGGAAAAGGTGAAAAAATTAAAAAAGAAGGGGGGTGATTTTTTAAACTCACGTGATAATCACGTGACTGGTCAACGCCAGAGTAAATAAGTCAAACACTAGAATCCGACGTAAAGGTCCATTTGGACAACAAAACATATTTATAAGGTCCTTTTTGACAACTTTGAACATATAAGGTCCTTCCAGACAAAAGAGTCAACATATAAGTCCCTTCTAGACAATTTTTCCTTATATTTATGATCATATTTGTCGTAGATTAAGATAGATTTAATGTATATTTTGTATCCTTATCGTACTAGGTTTCCTAACGTGATTAGGACTAACATTGTAAACTCTATATATTGATCAATGGTACACACTTTAAATTGAGAAGTTTTCCCGAAATCTAACATAATATCACAGCTCTAGGTTTTCGATCTAGCTTCTGCAACTTTTAATTTTAATACCACCCTCCCTAATATTAATTCCCTTAGCCTTAACAATGTCCTTCTTGCACCTCAAATTATTAAGAATTTAATTTATGTCCGAAAATTTACTTCTGATAATAAGGTGTCTATAGAATTTGACCCTAATGGATTTTCTGTGAAATATCTTCACACGGGGAGGGTAATAACGAGATATAATAGCATCGGAGAACTCTATCCAGTCACCTTAAGTTCACCAAGTACTTGCCTAGCCACCACTCTCACTGCAGCCACCCCATGACATGATCTCTTCTTTAAATTTTCTTAGGAGCAATAATTTTATTTCTTGTAATAAGGAGCATAATTCCTCCTTTTGCAATTCTTGTCAAACAAGATAACATGATAGACTTCCCTTTTGTGATTTAAATAATAATAATTTCTCTGCTTTTAACATTATTCATGCTGATTTATGGACTTCTCCTATTCAAAGTATTAATGGTCACAAATACTATTTAGTTATTCTCAATGATTTCACTCATTATGCATGGGCCATACCACTTGCTTATAAATCTCAAGCCTTCCAATCTTTCATTCACTTTAGAAAGTATGTGCAAACACAATTCGAACGGCCTATTAAATCCTTTCAAAGTGATCATGGTCAAGAATTGACATTGATCCATTCAAAAAGTTTTGTGTTGAAAATGGTTTGGTTTTTTTTATTTTCTTGTCCCCCACATCTTCACAAAATCGGAAAGCCTAACGTATGATTCGAACCATAAATAATGTCAAGCGCACCTTATTATTTCATGCCTTATTGCCCCCTTCTTATTGGTCACATGCTCTTGAGATGGCCATATATCTTCTGAATATTTTACCAACCAAATCCCTTAAGCAAATGACCCAGGCTCAGGCTTTGTTTCGTTGAACCCATAATATGACCACTTACAGATTTTTGGTTGTCTATGTTTTCTTAATCTTTCGGCAATTGCTCCTAATAAACTTGCTCTTAGATCCACTCCTTGCATCTTTTTGGGTACCCTTTCAACCATCGTGGCTACAAATCTCTTGAACTAGCAACCCACAAAGTCATCATCTCATGTCACGTCACTTTTGATGAGTCTACCTTTCCCTTTAAAAACTTGGAACATTACACTTTAAAGGAGTATGATTTTTTGGAATTTGATGAGAATTCCCCACTACTGACTCACCAATTCATACGGCTCCAATCCACTCAAGCCCATATGCAACCAAGCCCAACTCCAAATGGACTTCAAGCCCACATCCCACCTAACTCACCCACTCACAATCCTGATCAGCAGAATACTCTACAAGGGGCTTGCGGCACTCCTTCCCTAGCCGCAGCCACCTTGCGGACTTCACTGCTCCACCCTCTCTCGGTCAGCAGCCCAGCCTAGTCATCCACAACCTACTCTCCGCCACCTATGCATGGCATCCCCCCACCGCAGCCTACTCGGCCACCACCCCCCTCTCCCCAAGTCACTCGTAGTCAACGGGGTATTTTTAAGCCTAACCCGAAATATTGTAACCTCACCATTTAACACTCGGGTCCACCTCACCTTAAATCCCCTCTTCCAAAATCATATAAACAAGCTTTAAATGACCAAAATTGGAATTCAGCGATAAATGATGAGTATAGTGCTTTAATTAAAACAGGGACATGGGAACTGGTGCCTAGGCCTGCGGGGGTGAATATTGTATGTTGCTATTTAAGCATAAATACAATTAAGTCTAATGGTGACCTCGAAAGGCACAAAGCTCGTCTTGTATGTGATGGCAGGTCACATGAAATTGGTGTGGATTGTGATGAGACGTTTAGTCTAGTAGTTAAACCGGTCACTATTCGTACTGTTCTCAGTTTATCCATGGCTAAAAAGTGGTCGATTCATCAATTAGATGTCAAAAAATGCCTTTTTACATGGTGATTTGCAGGAAACTGTTTATATGCACCAACCTCCAAGTTTTGTCGATCAGAGAGCTCCCTCTTATGTTTTCTGACTCAGAAAGGCTCTTTATGGTTTGAAACAAGCTCCCAGAGCTTGGTACTAGCGATTTGCAAACTTCTGATCACATTGGGTTTTGTTATTGCTAAGAGTTACAACTAATTCTCTTTTTACTTTTTGACAGGGTAATGATATGACATATTTGCTACTATATGTTGATGACATTATTTTAGCTACCTTATCTGACAGGTTGCGTGCAGGGATCATTTCTCAGTTGCAAACTGAGTTTCCTATGACTGATTTGGTTCCATTGAGTTATTTTTTAAGGATTTTGATAACCTGTACACCCTCTTATTTGCTACTTTCACAGGAAAATTATGCACAGAATATTTTAGAGCGAGTAGGTATGGGCTCATGTAAACCTGCAGCTACTCCAGTTGACACAATTCTAAACTTAGTGTAGATGCAGGACCAACTTTTCGGGATCCTACTATGTATCACAGTTTATCTGGTGCTCTTTAGTATCTCACTTTCACCAAGCCGGATATTACCTATGCGGTACAACAGGTGTGTCTTTTTATGCATGATCCCCGGGAACCTCATTATGAGGCATTGAAACGCATTCTGCATTATGTTCAGGGTACCATTAATCACGACTTACATTAATATCCATCTGCTTCTCATCGATTAATTACATACACTGACGCTGACTGGGGAGGTTGTCCCGATACCCGATGACAACTTCAGGATATTGTTGTTTCCTTGGGGAAAACCTCGTGTCTTGGTCATCTAAGCGCCAACATCCTTTGTCTAAGTCGAGTGCAGAAGCAGAATAGCGAGGCGTCGCAAATGTTGTCTCTGAGGCGTGTTGGCTTCGTAATCTTTTGCTTGAGTTACATTGTCCTCTACGGCAGGCTACTATTGTTTATTGTGATAATGGCAATGTTATCTACCTTTCTAGCAACCCAGTTCAACACCAACGCACCAAACATGTG